CTATCTGGCAAACTGGAGGACTCTCTGTTTGAAGATGATGATTCCCTTGTGGCAACTGGTAAACAGTGGCTCAGTCGAGCCGATCCAGAGTTTTACCGTGCAGGCATACAGGCCCTAGTTCCAAGGTAGCAAAGCGTTGTTAAAAGGGATGATGATTATGTGGAAAAGTGACATTTTGTTCCTAAAACATGTATCAATGTACTGTGTAAATAGCAAAGATATCGCGTAAAATTTGGATTAAAAATATATTGTGCATTACTTTTGGAGTGACCCTCATATCACTAAGAAATCCAAGATTTCAGTGTACCTATGTGCCATAAGAGTCTCTGAAAAAAATGTGAAAGAAATCCATTCTGTTCAGAGTTAAAAGGTTAGTGCAGCTGAAAGAAATGCTAAGTAACCAAATGCCAGAATATAGCAATTAATGCCCTCAGCGGCCTTAACTATACAGTGTGACATAAGATTGGAAAAGGAATGAGACCTTTACAGATTTAAAAGAGGACACCTACTTAACAATAAGAAGGAAATTGAAATGTTAAAAGGTGGTAAATAGACTTAAAATGGGGGTTGAAGGGGACGGGAAATTAAAAATCCTTTCTTTTTAACCATTAAAAATAATTATCTATGAATTTTAAATAGGGTGTCCATTTAATTAATTGACTTTGGAATTTCTATTATTTTATAAGCATATTAGCTACTGAGGCCAGGAACTGCCAGTCTGCATTCTCCTGGGTTTTTGGTATTGAAGTTTTCTTAACCTTAACTTTTAATTTAGCAGAAGTAGTCTTTATAGCTAAGATTATGGCAGTCCTTATGACAAACCTGCTTGCTTTGTTCTTTATATCTGTTTTACACAACACATTATGGATAGTGTGTATTTGCACTATACATCTATGACACTTTGATAGCATTTTATCTATAGGTGTTATACTACACGATCCTGGATTTCTGGTTTTGTGAGGTATTTTGAATTCTCTGCTAGAGAGCTCTGGTGCATTTCTCTGAACTATGCCACTAGAATGCTCTGGCAGGAGATCCTCTGTATTTCATTGAACTACATATCCCAGACAGGAACATTTTCCACTAGGAAACACTCCATTGTACAACCATTAATATTAAAAATGAATTCAAAGGCAAAATTATGGCTAGCGATATAGAGGAACCAAGACTGACAAGGTCAAAAGTCTTGGGACATTTGATTAGTGGGAGCTATACCATCCCCTGCAGTTTTGGATTCTTTATGGAAGTCTTGTTATAAATTGTCTTGTTACAACCCAACTTCTTTAGTCTAAACAGATCTTAGCCAGCGTTTAAGCATGCGATTATTATTATTATTATTATTATTATTATTATTATTATTATGACACACACAGTATGTCACAGCAAATGAGATCTATATGCTGGATTTCGTATCACAGAATCACAAGTCGAARACTTCCCAAGTGCCTAYGACTGTGTGATTTATTTTTGAATGATGTGCACAGATCCAAGTAAGGTGGCCTTTTGCAATTGACAGATCGTGATTTTGTCAATGTTTATTGTTTCCAAATGCRGTGTTCTGTCGCTCACTGGGCCTGTAAAAATTGTGTTTTGAATAGGACYTGCACTTTGTGCCCAGCGGGAAGCCAGGGCGCCTCGAAAGAGAGGCCCTCAAGGATTTTCCTGCACAATAGTCTTAGAGYCTTGAAAGGTTTAACAAAGTCCTTTATTATTGAACAAATTAAACAAATACTTCCCAGATCTTCAYTGAGTCAAACAAATGCTTCTTAACTTGTCTACAATGGACAGGCACCTTGCTTGGAGAACTATTTCTTTCTTTAACAAGGAAAACCCRTTTTTAACCTCTCCCAGGCTGTCTACTATCTAAGCTTTGCTGATGTGGGTTCTACTACRGGATCCAAACTGRTTCTTGGGCYCCGAGTAGACCTACCAGTSAAGMCTTGTAGATTCTCCAGCTGGAGTTCTTTGGGTCTGTAAAGCTGTTTTCCCCTGGATGCTGTAAGGCTGAGAGGCTGTAAGCTCCCAGCCAAAGCTTTGGGACTTTCCCCCCGGAAATTCCCTGGAAATTCTTACGAAATGAAGCTTTTCCGCAGGTGAAGCTGGTCCACATCCTATAGCTTAGTTTCCTTCTGTAAGACTGAACTAAAAATGGCTCCCTCTCCTCCCCAGGTCCCTGGGGAAAGGGGCAGAACCAAACACAATTATGTTAGACAGGTGGCTAGCCCTATAACTGCAAACCAAGGGAAGTCACCTTTTTGCAAAACCTCTGAAACCTTAGAATGCATGCAAATATTAAATAGAAAGAAAATGAAGTTGGAGCTCCTGGTACAGCCGTACCAGTACATGCCGGCTGAGATCTTTTGGCATGGCACCCAGTGTGCCAATGACCACTGGGACCACCTGTAATTGTTGTTGTTGTTGTTATTATTATTATTATTTGAAACACCAGAAGATGAGTCAACAGCAGACACTCTGCTGGCTGTTGTATTGGATCACGTCCCAAGTTTCTATAAAATAGTCTATAAAATAAGAGATAGTCTATAAAATAGTCTATAAAATAAGAGATTGAAAAGTATGCATTATGTTGCACATGAAAGATGTGCATACAGAACATCATTTGCTATTCTGTTTGCGCTCTGGGAACACAGTGGGGCTACATTAAAATAAATATGCAGAGAAAGATTGTAGGGTTAAATTGTGTCACTATCATAAGAAGTGTTATCGAAGGTTTTCATGGCCAGAATCACTGGGTTGCTGTGACTTTTCTGGGCTGTATGGCCATGTTCCAGAAGCATTCTCTCCTGACGTTTCACCCACATCTATGTCAGGCATCCTCAGAAGTTGTGAAGTTTGTTGGAGACAATCAAGACCAGCTAATCACCTCTCAACAAAGGATTCCCCCAGGCAGGAAGCATCCAAGCTTTGAAGCTGCAAGGCTATCCAGTGCTAATCAAGGCGATCAATTACAACATTCACACTTGCCTCAAAAAGACAAGTTCTTTTTCCCACACTGGACATTCCACAGATACATCTGTAGGAATATCAAAGTGCTTGTTTATAAAGCTATTGTCCTCCCAACCCTGCTATACGCCTGCGAAACACGGACTGTCTACAGACATCACATGCAACTCCTAGAATGATTCCATCAGCGCTGCCTCCAGAAAATCCTGCAAATCTCTTGGAAAGACAAGCGGACAGATGTCAGTGTGCTGGAAGAAGCAAAGACCACCAGCATTGAAGCAATGGTCCTCTACCATCAATTCTGCTAGACCGGCCACGTTGTCTGGATGCTCGACTACCGTCTCCCAAAGCAGTTGCTCTACTCCAAACTCAAGAATGGAAAATGAAATGTTGGCAGGCAGGAAAAGAGATTTAAAGACGGGCTCAAAGCCAACCTTAAAATCTCTGGCATAGACACTGAGAACTGGGAAGCCCGGGCCCTTGAGTGCTCCAGCTGGAGGTCAGCTGTGACCAACAGTGCTGCAGAATTTGAAGAGGCACGAATGGAGGACAAAAGAGAGAAACGTGCCAAGAGGAAGGTGCATCAAGCCAACCCCTACCGGGACCCCCTTCCACCTGGAAATTAATGTCCTCACTGCGAGAGACGATGCAGATCAAGAATAGGGCTCCACAGTCACCTACGGACCCACCCTGGAGGATTATGCTACTCGGACAACGAGGGCTCGCCTAAGTAAATAAGTAAGTAAGACATAACCCCCACTTACCAAGTCTCCAACAAACCTCACAGCATCCGAGAATGCCTGCCATAGATGTGGGTGAAACGTCAGAAGAGAATGCTTCTGGAACATGACCGTACAGCTTGGAAAACTCACAACAACCCACTACCATTAGACTTCCCAACTTTATTTTTAAACTCTTTTTGTATTGGATTGATTTCCAGACTATTTACAGTCGTTTCTAAACAAAGACAAAACTTGGCCTCTTTCTGTCAAGATACAAGTGGCTGTATGTATACCTTTACTTTTGAATTCAACATGCTATTTTATTGTATGTGGCAATTATAGGAAGTTGGATCCAATTGAAAGGGAAGAAAAACAATGTGATTTCAAATGCTACAGTGAAAAAATACACCATCTGAGCTGAAAAGATCTGTGTTGGGCTTTGTAAATCCATTCCCCTCCTCGAATTCAAGAATTTGCTTTTATTAACCCAATTAAGATGGTGTTTATGTTTCACTCTTAATGTTTATTGCTAATGTTTGTCTGGTGCCTTGTTTTTCTTCTTAGAACAATAGGGTTGCCTGTGGTAATGTGCCTGGTGAAAAATGGAGCACAAAAACTGCAGCATAAATGCTAATGATGCAGGGTTTTTTTTTAAACTGCATGATCAACATTGCCAGCTGAACACTCTGTCCCACATTTAAAATTGCTGGGATGAAAAGCAGACAATTTTTCATTCTTTTCAGATTCCTGTGCTTCCTTTTCTACCACATTGTCCAAGGTACATTCCTTCTTTCATAGGGCCCTTCCTTACTTAAATTTGATTTCTTCTTAAAGGATTTTCATTTATAAATTGTACTGAACTAAATGGGAGTTAAGACTTTAATTCTGTCCTTCGGTTCTTTTCATATTCATGGAATTCAAAGCACTTCACTGAATTGCTAGCCAATTTTCTATACAAAAACACATCCGTTATTTCCCATTTGGGTTTGTAGCTACAGTATTTGGCTTAGGTCAGGCAGAGATAGAGAGATTTGATAGGTTTTGTAACTTGTGAAAAGAGTTGATATTGCTCCTATTTTGGGTTTGTGGGCCTATTGCTTAAACACATAACTATGTTTAATATAAACATATAAGAAACAACGAATATTGGGAAAATTGCTTTTTGAAATAATAACTTTCAGAATCCTTCAGCCAGCCTTGTCCTTTGGCCTTGCTGGTTGGGAGAAGCTGGAAATTGCAGTAGCCTTTTGAAACTCTGAAAAAGAGTTTGATGCATCCTTGACTTAAATTGTGTGTTTGTTTTTTTATTTACTTCAGGTCCGAACATGGATACTTACAGTGGGCTACACAACTGCATTTGGGGCAATGTTTGCAAAAACATGGAGAGTACATGCAATTTTCAAAAATGTAAAAATGAAGAAAAAGGTAAGTCTCAAAAACCAAATCCCAATAATACATGCTTGTCTCTTTGCCCCCCCCCCCCCGGGTCCCCCTCTCTTTCTTGAAGATGGAAAGGTTGAATTGGAATCAGTTATGTGCTGTCGCACGCTGGGCCTGTGCATATGACTGTAGACAGGACATAAACTCTGTGTGCCCAACGGGACACCAGGGCTGCCTCAGATCAAAGGCTCTTGGACCTCCCCAAAACAAAGTTCTGTAGAGGCTTAAAGTAAGTCCAACAAAGTTCTTTATTGATGAAAAACAAACAGGTACTTTAAAGCTTTCTTAACAGTCTATAGGCTCTTGCAATCTTGTTCACTGGGAACAGGCACTATCTTCATAACTATATAATAACTAATGGGGAAATCCTTAACTTCCAATCTGGGCAGTCTGTACTTGCCTCTGTTGGCGTGGAGCCCCTGCACCCGGTACCAACTGCGTCTGGCTTCCTAATGCCATGACCCCTTAATACAGTTCCCATGTTGTGGTGACCCCCCAACCATAAAATTATTTTTGTTGCTACTTCATAACTGTAATTTTGCTACTGTTATGAATCGTAATGTAAATATCTGATATGCAGGATGTATTTTCATTCACTGGACCAAATTTGGCACAAAGACCTGATACACCCAAATTCGAATACTGGTAAGGTTGGGGCGGTGATTGCTTTTGTCATTTGGGAGTTGCTGGGATTTATTGTTAACCTACAACCAAAGAGCATTCTGAACTCCAGCAATGATGGAATTGAACAAAACCTGGCACATAGAACTCCCACGACCAGCAGAAAATACTGGGAGGGTTTGGTGGGCATTGACATTGAGTTTCGGAGTTGTAGTTCACCTACATCCATGGAGCGCTGTGGACTAAAAAAATGATGGATCTGGACCAAACTTGGCATGAATATTCAATGTGGCCAAATATGAACACTGGTGGAGATTGTGGGAAATAGATCTTGACATTTGGGAGTTGTAAAGTTTACCTACAATCAAAGAGCGTTCTGAACCCCACCAACAATAGAATTGGGCCAAATTCCCACACAGAACCCCCACGGCCAACAGAAAAGACTGTGTTTTCTTTTTAAAAATATTTTTCTTATTTTATCATTGTTCAGTACATTTGTTATACATTTTTTTATTTTTCAGCAGAAACATATTATTCAATACAAGCTACCATACTTTAACTTTGGCATCTACTGTTATTTTTCTGCTTATACATATTACCTGGACTGTGTTTTCTGATGGTCTTTGTCAACCCCTCTAACATCCCTGGCAACACCCCCCCCCCCCCCCCAGGGTCCCAACACCCAGTTTGAGAAATGCTGAGAGGTGAAGAAAGACTTCAATAATTTGCCTATTACATTGTTTTCTTGCGGGCAATTATAGTAAGAAACGAGGGGTCCTCAAACTTTTAAAACCGAGAGCCGGTTTGCAATCCCTCAGAATGTTTGGGGACGGACTGTAGTTTGAAAAAACATGAGTGACTTCCTATGCACACTGCACATATCTTATTTGCAGTGCAAAAAGAAAAAAGAAAGAACAATACAGTATTTTAAATGATGAACAATTTTAACCAACGTTTAAATGATGAACAATTTTAACCAGGATTTCAATGGGAAGTGTAGGCCTATTTTTGGCTGATGGGATAATTAAGTTCATTAGGATTGTTGTTGCTATGTGTCTTCAGATTGTTTCAGACTTAGGGCAACCCCAAGTTGCCCCAAGGGTAAATGACCTTGGAGGGCTGCATCTGGCCCATGTGCCTTATTTTGAGGATCCCTGGTATAAAGTGTCATGAGTTAAAAACAATGATTGAAGTGATCTGAAGATGCCAGCCACAGATACAGGTGAAACATCAGGAGAAAATGCTGCTAGAACATGACCATATAGTATGGAAACCACACAGTACCCCAGTGATTCTGGCCATGCAAGCCTCCAACAATGATTGAATTGTTAACCTGACTTGAGATGTTATATAATAGCTAATTGGTTGTTTAAGTTTTGTCCCCCTCTGTAAGACATGCAACATCTTAGAGATTTTTAACTTCTGCAATGCAAAAACTGTTCTAAGTTTTGTGTGTGTGTGTGTGTAAAGAGAAACTTGAGAAATTGCAAGTTACTTCTGGTGTGAGAGAATTGTAAAGATGTTGTTCAGGGGACGCCCAGATGTATTGCTATCCTGTGGGAAGACTCCCCATCCTGTGGGCATCTTCTCTCATGTCCCTGCAAGAGAAGCAGGAGCTGACAGATGGGAGCTCACCCCACTCCCTGGATTTGAACCTCCAGCCTTTCAGTCAGCAGTCCTGCCAGCACAAGGGTTTAACCCATTGCGCCACTGGGGCTCTAACTGTTTGAATACTTCCCATTCTCAGTTTCTTCACTGCTTACCTCCTGGCTTGTTTCCTTTTTTGTTGTTTTTAAATGGGGGGATATATTAATATTTTCTTGTGGAGATCTCTGTGGGAATATATGCCTAACTCTTTCATAGATGTTTGCTATTTAACTACTTTTGTATTTAATTTCCCAATTTCTGGAATATAGTTACGGAGCAATCCATATCACGTCCAAATGGAGAAGCCCTACTTCTCTGGTTTTTATATTGTGTCTTCATTGACACTTGAAGGAGGAACCTTCTTAATGTCCATGAGCATTAAACTAGAACCCTCTACAGTTCTGATTTCTTGTTATGTTCACATATAACCAATTATGCTGGGGAAAATGGAAGGAAAAAGGAAGAAGGACCAACCAAGGGCAAGATGGAAGCACTGAGTTTGAATGGGATGTGCAGTTCTGATAGATTCTGGATGTTAAATAACATGTTCTGCCAATGTGGGTGTGATGTATGACTGATGCTGTGTAGTTTTGTCCTGGGCATGTTGCCATTGTCCTCATTTTTGCCATCTAAGCTATCAATCTACTCAATCTACTGCCAAAAGCTTTTCTCTCTTTTCATCTCACTAGTTGGCACTACTTCTATTATCAGGCATGGCATTGAGAATGTTTGGCCTTTTGTCAAACGGAGGCTATTATTGTCTCTGCCAATTCACAGGCTGAGGAACTGGAGATTCATCTCTGGTGGGTACTGGTGGTGGAATATGCTGAGGTGATGAGAAAAACCAAGAGGTGCGAAATCTCAGAAAAGAGAGCATTTCTTGCCCTCCGTGTGCCATTTGTAGATTGTTCAACTTGTTCCTGAATTAAGTGTGTGTTGGATGGCAACACAAGGATTTCTCATCAGTTCAGAGGAATTTTCTGATTTTTACAACAGAGTATTTATATATTGTTTCAGTGCTGATTAGACAAAGTTCAACCAGGTGTTAGAACAGAAAGTGAATGGACTGTTGGCAGGGATTCCTTCCTGCTACTTCACAATGAGCAGCATAGGAAATATGAGAAGGGGAAGTAATGTGTTACGCAGACCAGGATCTGTGGTAAGTGTGCTACTTCATGGTAAAGTTACGGGCAGCCTGATTTTGTAATATGAAACAAAAAAGCACAACTATGTTTGTTAACCCAGTGAGTTTGACCCGTGTCGTGGCCATTTTGCATCATCTACCTGTGCAGGCTTGTGTTGACAAAGCTCAAAGACACTGTCCACCCAGCAATTGTTTTCTGACATGTCCTGTGCTTTTAATTGTTTTTGCAAATTTTGAGTTTTAAATTTAAAAACCATATCAAAACAGGCACGTGTTATCAGTTGGTATATATAAGAGTATGAATCACGATAGAAACAAAAAGTGGCTATGATGAGAGGATTAGGTAATGTGCCTCATAAAATAATTAATTTTAGTTGGATGGACAGAACAAAAGTCAATATTTTATAAAGTCACTTTTCATCTCATGTAGCTGGCTGAGACCCCTGGCTAGAGCCATGTCAACCCCCTTCCCTTGTGGAAGCCATGGTCTTACTTCTCTTTTTTAGGTTATCTGTTGCAGACACAACCTAGACGCTGACATGAGCAAAAATACTGTTGTACAGCTCATTGACTTCTCCAAGCAGTTGAATTTTCTAGAGTTCTGTTATTATTAGTTCAAATCTGTTGTTATTAGTTGCTATCTGTTGTTATTAGTTCAAATGTTTGTGTGGCACTTTTTAGCACTGGCGATTTCTCAAAGCAGTTCACAAAATTTAAAAACAAATTCTATATATTTAAGCATAATAAAACTTAAACAGCCTGTTACCATAGTTACATACAAATCGTGAAGTAGTTTACCTTTTTTCTGAGAGGAAGCAGTGCAGTGTACCATTGCACTTTCTATTTTATTATATTACTGGCTGTACCCGGCACGCGTTGCTGTGGCCAACCTTCCCTCCCTCTTTCTCTCCTCCTTTCCTTCTCTCCTTCCTTCCTTCTCTTCCTCTTCCCTTCCTTCCCCCCTTTTTTTCACTCTCCTTTCTTCCTTCTCTACTTATTCCTGAACTGCAACTCCCAGCAGTCCTCCTGATTGATTGATTTACCTACCTACCTACTATCTCTATCTATTCTATCTATCTTATCTATCTGGAGGGTTTCTGGGAGTTGCAGTCCAGGAATAGGAAATTGGAAATATTGGGATGGTCTCAAATTCAAGGAGAAGAAAGTTTGCAGCTTGGAAGTAGTGCATTTGGATCATCCTCCGCTCCGAAAGGGCCTGGTCTAGGGGATGCTGGGAGCTGTAGTCTTGAAGAGAGTGTGGATATGCTATTGTGTGTTTTGTTTGAAAGGGGAGTTGTTTTTGCGCATGCGCTGTGGCTTCTTTTTGCTTTTTTGGCTTTTTAAGTCCCTTATGCTATGTTTTCCAATGTTTTTATGAGTGATGGTCACTCGTTGGTCTAATAGGTGTATTGTGTCCAAATTTGGTGTCAATTTGCCCAGTGGTTTTTGAGTTAATGTTAATCCCACAAACTAAGATTACATTTTTATTTATATAGATTCTCTCTCAGATCCTTGAAACCTAATTCAGACTTCTCTTCTAAGTTTCCTCTGCCCTTTTGTAGTATCCTTCTAC